CAAATTGTGCTGCTATAAACATAGGCATGCAGGTATCACTGTGATATGATGCTTTTAACTCTATCTTGTACATTCTTATAGACAAAGTGATGAAAGTTTACCTTGCTACTATTTTTGACACTGGATTTTTGAATTGTGGGAGAATCTTTTATGAACACTGTATTTCAATGTTTATTTATAATTGTCACATTTTAAAATTATAATTTCAGATTCCTAGATGTTTAGATTTCTAAGATGCCTCAGATATGATAACAGATCTAAGCCACCAGAAGCACATATTTGTGGAAATCAGTGTCCCAGAATCCAAGGCCTCATAAATCATACAGGAACAAAGTAGGTCTCTTGCATTGGACCACAGGTGACATAGCAGATAGTGTTCATTTGATTCTTCATTGTCAGTCCGTGGGATTTTACATTTGATTTTAATTTTCTTTTGAGAATACACTATATTCAAGTAGGTTGACTCTATGGTTATGGTGAGCTTAAAGAAATTAATAATCTAAACAACTACTTTGAAGATAACAATATGCAATATAACAACCATTGTTGATTTCATACCATCTTCCTTTGAAATTCTGTATCATTTCTAATGTGTTTTCTTATTTTTTTATTCTCTTCAAAATAAAAATAAAAATGAAAAAAAAGAAATTAGTAGCTATTATACCATGTAGTAGAGTTTCTGTTTTTCTTATATATCACTGGATACAAGTAGAGAATAAGATTATATTTTTATGTTTATTGTGAATATCATCATGATCAGCCTTTATAAGGATTCACTGAAATTAAACATTCACAGAAAATTCATTTGGTTTCTCTTTATTTGAATGACTTTATATTATCTCATTACAAGAATTTGTAAAAATAAATTTTTAAAAACAGAGCAAGCCCAGATACATAACCTAATGATGCACCTCAAGGTCTTAGAAAAACAAGGAAAACTCAAACCCAAAGATAGTACAAGGAAGAAAATTAGAAAGATCAGTCCTCAAATTAATGAGGTTGAGGCCAAAAAATACCAAGAATTAATGAATAGTTAATTCTTTTTTTATTTTAAAAATAAAAGGAGGAAAACATTGACAGGCAGACAACATTTTACAAAATAGCAAAAGGACAGTACAGACAATACAGAGTTACAAACAAAGTGGTAGGAAATGAACAATGCTTGTTGTATTACATATTGATATCTTCAAAGTGGCTTCTCATGAAAACAGATAGAGACATGCAATACTGATCAATCAAGGACTCGTTAACAGTTTCTTTCAGCAAAGAAATAGAAGACGGTAGAACAGCCGTGTTAACTATCCTGTATATACACACATACAAAATTTCTCCTTCTTTCCATTCTCTCTTCCCACATCCCAGTTGCCCTTTATCCTTGAGTGTTTTCCTATCATTTCACAATGTCTATCATACCTCCTAGTTTAAATTAACTCAGGTTCCTGAATAGTTAATTCTTTGAAAGAATAAACAAAATATACAAACCCTTAGCTAATTTAACCCAAAAAAAAGGAGTAAAAAGCCCCTCTTATTTGTTATAGTTCAGTCTGTGCTTGAGGAATCTAAGGCACAGAGACATTAAGTATCTTGTGCCCAATCAGGCTTATTCACTTGTAGACATGAGAGCAAAACCCAGGCTGTATCGCAGCAGAGCTTGCTGTGCCATATTGCCAGGCACAAGCAGAGAAATGCAGAAGTGGTAGAAGCTGCCCATCAAGAAGAAATGATGGTGGTTTGAAATTTTAAATGGTGTAAAATCAAGATAATGCATGAGATTGGGGTCGCTAAGAGGAAGAAAGAGTCTGAGTGCATTATAGCTAAGAAAGTGTTCTTCTGGTCAGTACAAAGTGGGCTCCAACCTTAACAGCCATTTGTATGGTATATAATGTTTGGTTCAACACTTAGTTCTTACAACAGGTTTTTAAAAATCTCTTGGTAGCATACTTATAATAGCTGACAAAAATCATTGTCTGCCACTCAGTACCTATCTGCATTTAAGACAGTAGTCATCACCAGTAGAAATTAATGATGGAATAGGTGTGAAAAATAAAAGAGTGTAAAAGAGTAGAGACAAAACAGTAGATGGAAATCAGTAACCCTATAAGACAAATTTTAATAGCAAAATGTAATTTGGGAACAACTCTGACTCTGGCTTATGTTATAAATATGGGTGTCTAAATGTTCTATGCATTTTGATGGCTCCTTTCCATATAAAGTATACGTTATATTTGACTTCAAGCAAGAACTGTGATATTCCAATATGTTGTAAGTGGGTTGTGTTATCTTTTATTATTTTCACCCTCTTCATAGTGCTAGTACAGGAATAGAACAGCATCCAGATAGTACCTAGTTTTACAAAATTCTGGGCATTTAGCACTTTACTTCTGGCTAAATAGGTATTCGTCAATGCCAATTAACTTGGTAATTTGTAATGTTTACTGAAGAGTTCTTTTCCTTGACATCACATTTTTTAGAAATACTAGCAATGATTAAAAAGGGGAAGCATCATTTTATAGAACCTAGACTAGAAGGAAGCATTTTGCAGAACCTAGATTCCCACTTTTATTAATCTTTTGTCTCTATTTTTATGCTGCTTGATTGACTCCTTAGGCTCCCCCTGCTCCTCATTCTTTCCAATGTCTGTGTGGAGTTGTACAACTTGTCTTAGATACTTGCACAATTCTCTTTTCTACTTTAATATGTACCTGGCAGCTAATCCAATCCTCATTTGGTCTGGATTTATTAGACTATATGTGCTTATATACTTTCCCTGTACAATCTCACTAATGCAAAGATCAATTTCAACAAAGTAGATTCAGCCAACATACACTTTTTTATTTTAAAGAGAAAAAAACCAATAAAACAGTTTCAAAACTGGTTAGTAATTAATATGCTGAGTATTGTTGTCTTCCTAGTAGTTATTCAGAGTAAAAGATATAGGCATATCCTTGTCCAGATAATATTAGCACAAACCTTTCTTTTCAATGAACTAAGAGAAACTAGATGTTTAACTATCTTAACTATCGTATATATAAATATAACTTTTTCTTTTTCCTTTTCTTCCTTCCCCCTCTTAACTAATAAATTCTGAATTGTTTCTTTGATGCTCTAGCTTTTGAGTCAACAAGTTCTTCTGACTATCAAGATAGACCAGTAGTGGGCAATGTTTTCCTAGCACCCTGTTAAGGTCTGGCACTGCTGATAGGTATGGTTCGCCAGTTGGTAAGGAGTTACTGCATACTTTGTTTTTTTAAAATCCATATTGTCTGAACAATTACACATTAACAGTTCCTTTCAATAAACCAACAGGTACTGTACAATTATCCTAGCTGTCCTGTGTATATATATATATACATATTTTTCTCTTCTTTCTTTTTCCTCTCTGTTCTTTCATCCCAGTTGCTCCTTCTTACTTCAGCAGTTTCTTTTCCCTTGCACAATATCTATTGTACCTTAGCTGTATTGCTGATGTCTGTGGTTTATTGAAAGGAACAATCAATGTTTAAATTTTGTTTTTTCTTGAATCTGGTAATCAGAATGACTGATCTGAAAACAACAATATGCAGTATGAGAACCATTGTTGAACTCCTACCATCTTGTATAATGAAGCTCTGCAACATTTCCAATTTTTTTTATTATTATTTTTCATTACTTGTTAGTGTCTTGGATTATTTGATCAACCTTACATTCTTATGTCTGGTGGACTGAGCAACTTTGTTGAAGATGCAATGTAGCAAAACAATGTAGCAAGCATTGTTAATTCCTGTCATTTTGTTTTGAGATCATGTATCATTTTTGTTGTTTTTGTGTTGTTTTGATTTTGTCCTCATTGTTGTTTTGTTAGTTTTTTTTAATTTTTAAAATAAAAAAGTGAAAAAATCCATAGTGTCCAAGAATATCTAAACTTTTCAGCTTTTTAGGATATTTATATATTTGGGGGGAAGATTTGTTCACAGAATCATAGTCTTTGAAACAGTAACAATCACCATAATTCTTTCATCTTTTTGTTCTGAGAGCTTTTCCAAGCATATTTACTTTGTTATAGTGCCAACATTGTCAAGATGAGTGAATACCATTTATTTCCATATACCAAATAAAATTTTAGCATTTTAACCTGGGAAGTAAGTGTGTTTCCAACCAAATGAGCCCAAGGACCAAAACAAGCAATTTATTCTTGATTAACTAAGCAACTGATTAAACTTTATTGGGTGTGTGCATGTCTTCTACCTCCCTTCTAACAGAACCAATAAAGAGCTGAACTAACTCCCTACGCTGGGAAAGTCTCTATGCATGCCATGGGCAAGAGCACTGGCTAAGAAATCTGTCATCTATAAATTTCACTAGTGAGGCCACCGTTTTAGATCTTCTAGATACTGGTATATTATGTCCACTCCTACCAATCCAGACTGAGAAACACTTCTGCTCCTGGGGAGACCAACATTGTAGATTTTTGACCAAACCTAATGGTGGAGGCTGAGAGCAAGGGTTCAAGAGACAAGGTGGCTCCCCTCCTTCTCCAGTTATCTCTCCTGTGAGCAGAGCTACAGGACAACAGGGTCAACTGAGGTCAAGGAGAAGGTCAGGGAGGAGGAGGAATGTGGCCAGTTAAACATGAAAGAAAACTGTGTGTATTGGCGGTGACTTTATAGAAGAGAATTTAGTGAAGTAGAGGCTGGGGAGTCCTGGGCAACCAGCTGGAGGGAGAAGAGACATTTATGAGGAAGGCTAAAACCTAAGAACTTAGAATAATATATAGCAAAACTCCAGCCTAGCTCTCATTTGAATTTTCTTTTTTTTTTTTTGAGTGGTGACTAAGGAAAAGTTAGCAGAGGCTGCTTCCCACATACAGGGCCTGTTTATAGTCTCACCATCTGTCTTTGAATCCAAAGGATATGTGTGTTTCCATAAGATCTGAACTAAATGCTGTTACTTTTTTTTTCATGTCTTAAGTGCCCGGCTCTCCCTGTTCCCTTCTGAGATACAGAAATAATTTGACTACACCATTGCAGTGAAGATAAATGTTCTTTATTAGGCAGAAGCCAGATGTTCAAGGAACTCCATAATTTCCCCTGGATTTAGTAATTGTTCTCAGGGGACCGAGAGACCTTCTTCAAGAAGTGGAGGGCAGAAAAGAACGCTCAGTGGTACTTGTGAGCCAGGGCATTAGCCACACCAGCCACGACCTTCTGGAAGGCAGCATGCACAGCAGGGTTGAATTCCGGGCCGAAGTGATGGGCCAGAGCGATGACAATCATGTTACCCAGGAGCTGTGGGGAAGAAATGAGAGACACGAACATGCCTAGTTAAACACAGAGTATTCCAAACTCATCTCAACCTGTGCTTTTCCTGTAACCAAAAACTGGTAATGAAACAATAGCTGGATAGCTGCTACCACTGATAAGATAGCCAGAATTTATAGGCAGAAATATTTGTCCCTAATGCCTTAACCCAGAAAATATAATGTCACAGTTACCATTCAAACCTGGGTGGAGAAACATGGTACATTTTATCCACTTTGTCTAGAAAGAAACTAGAGAAAGTGTTTGAAAGAAGACAAACAAAAACAGAGGAATAGAAGAAAAATTGGTTTAAAATAAAACATTTAGTAAAAAAGAGACAAAATTACAGAAAAAAGAGGAAAACAAGAAGGAAAGGAAAGAAAGAATAGTACTGAGCACAGAATAAAGTGTAATAAATGATCTTCGGAGGTCCACGGGGATACAAACAGACACACCATTCTCATCCTAAACTAGTCCCTAACCCTAACTCCCTTTTCTCATGGTGAGAACGTGGCTGTAGAAAGAAAGAGGAAGGATGTCACAGGAGCCCAGTCCCACAGACTCACCCGGAAGTTCTCAGGATCCACGTGCAGTTTGTCACAGTGCAGCTCACTCAGTTTAGCGAAGGTGCCCTTGAGGTTGTCCAGGTGGTGCAGGCCCTCACTGAAGGAGTTCAGCACCTTCGCACCATGAGCCTTCACTTTAGGGTTGCCCATAATAGCAGAAGCAGAGGACAGGTCCCCAAAAGTCTCAAAGAACCTCTGGGTCCATGGGTAGACAACCAGCAGCCTGAGGAGTGAGAGCAGACCAAGGGACAGAGAACATCAGCGCCTGTCAGAAACCCAGGAAACCTCTCTGTTTCCAATTACCCAGCTTCCATTAGCCTCGCAAAGCATCTTATAACCTGATACCAACCTGCCCAGGGCCTCACCACCAATTTCTTCCACGTTCACTTTCTCCCACAGGCCGGCCACGGCAGCCTTCTCCTCACCAGTCAGGTGCACCATAGTGTCTGTTTCTGGGTTGCTAGTAAACACAGCTGTGTCAGAAGCAAGCGTAAGCAGCAGTTGGTCCTGCTCGGCCTTTTATGCCCAGCCCTGGCTCCTGCCCTCCCTGCCCCTGTAAGCAGATTGGTTAAGGCCAGGGTGTGGTTCTGCAGGGTGAGGCCCGATCAGTGACAGCTGTACCTGTTCTTGGCAGTCCTGGCACCAGCTTGGGGTGCTGACATCAGGTGCTCAGTCCACCCTCTAAGTATCTTTTGGTCCCATCCCAGCAGCACAAATTGCCCCTTTCTGGAACCCTTGTACATTTTTTGGAATAACCATTTGGTAGGCAGATGACATGTTATTTCCTCCATTTTTATTATACAAGTGAAGAATGACAGCACAGACATTGGAAAGGATTTGCCTGTTGTGCTCCAGTGTAAGAGAGGATGGACGGATCTCCTGTGTCTCCGGGACATGCAAAGTAATCACAAGGACAAAACAGACTAAGCTTCTCTCATGCTTCTAGCTATGCCTTCCTTCTCTTCCTTTGGATGAAATCCTCCTGGTAAGAAAATAAATACTCATCCAATCATTTGTCAGAGGCTATTTTGTATTTGATTATTTCTTTAGTTTGACCAGAAAACCCAATAAATAATGTTTTAAAAATGGAGTAAGTCAGAATCAAGGCAGAAAACACAAATATTTTGCCGGAGGAGTCACTTTCTTCCTTCTTTTTGTAAGTTCTTCCAACTACAAAACTCACCTTTTTCTTCCTTTATTATAATACATGTCCTTCAAAAGAGTTTTACAAATGCATAATATCTTTCTGCCAGTTACTGAGCTAGGTTTGGAGAACATGGACTATAAAGTATTTCAATGAGAGATAAGGACAAATATCAGATACTCGTAGCACCCTATGTCATAGCTAAAGAAGGAATGTGGAAGAAGGACAAAGTAGATTTGTTTTATCAGGAAGATTAAGCCTGATAGGGTTTTCTGGTAAATTAAAATACAGAAATTTTGGCAGGTGCATTCTCAAGCAAAAACAGAAGGGGAGTTAGACCAGGGAAAATGATTCAAATAGCATTTTACTTATTTTTCAATTGAAAAATAATATTACAATATCAATATTATTTTTCATTTATCTGCACAGCAGAAGGAATGAAAGGAATAAAAAAGCAAGGAGCAACAGACAAGAATAGAGAGAGATAAAAAAAAAGAGAGAAGAGAGAGGGATGGAAGGAAGCATCAGAAAGGAGGGGGAGGGATCAGGGAAGAAAAGAAAGAAGAAAGGTAAGAAAGGGAGGAAGAGGTGATGACTAGGATGACATGGAAAAGGAAGAGGAAGAAATAAAATAATGGAAGATACAGGATACAGCAATGCAGATGAATTTAACAAATTTTGATTAAAAATAACCAGAGAGAGAAGCTCAAAATTCAAAATATATAAAAGTTCAAAATATATACAAGTTATATATTTTCATTTATATATTGAAAAAGTGATAATGTGGTTGTTTCAGATCCCAATGGAAAGTATTATACAGTGGGAAGAGGAGCTACAAACGATGTTTAAACTATGTCAACAGATGATTTCTCTCTAACACGTGAGCCAGTACCATAAATACTGAACAATTCAAGAAAGGAGGTGCAGTAATTTGATTTGTGCTTTGAAAAACTTGTTCTCATTCCTCTGCTTCAGTGCATTTTAGAAGTAGACTAAGTAGAGACAAAGAGCAGGAGGTTGATTGCACTAGGGAGAAAAGTCACCTCTGTTAGGAAGCTTCATCCATGATGGTGGTGCAGTGACTGAAAAAAAACACACAAGATGAGGGACAAGTTTGAAAGAGCAAAACTAGAATAAGATCAGAAGTTCAGCCTTATGCGTAATGTATTTGATGCACCCTTGAGCAGTTCTAAAGGAAATATTTAGTTACATAAGTTTGAAGCCCAAAAAAAATACATACGGCCAGGTCAAGAGCACAGACTAGAACAAGGCAGAGAGAAACATGTCGCAGTTTGTTGTATAAGCCCTACCCTTTGCTCAGAAGTGACAGAAAATGCACTCTACCAACATCACTTTCAAATCTTGTGGTATGTTTATGAGGTCGAATCACTAGCCCATTTTATAAGCAGGGACATTAGTTCTGAAAAAAGTCAGGCAAATTTTGAAAGCTATAGAGATATTATTGGGTCTTTGTTAACTCTAAAGATTTCGCGTTTCACTTGAATTCTCTTTTTATTTTTTTATTTATTTTTTCCAGTACTGGGGATTGAACTCACAATCTTGTGCTTGCCGGGCAGGCGCTGTGCTACAGAGCTATATCCCCAGCCCCTCACTTGAATTCTCTTCTACCACACATGATTTGACACAATGGGGACACATGATCACATCCCTGTTATACATGGGTTGTATTGAGAGCATGTGTATAATGTGAAGAGATGGTAAAGTGGAAAAAAGAGTTTCTAGTGTGTCCAGTAAACAAGGCGGACTTGACCCTTGTCAATAATAACAGTAACAAAAAGACAGAGGAAGATTCAAGCAAAACTTGATTATTGATTATTGGAAAGGAAATAAAAGAAGCCAAGAAGACTTTAAGTTTCTGGTGCAGGTAAAAGGGCAGTGGGTATACATTTGGCTAGGGTGGAAAATACTAGAAGACAAACTGTTCCAATAAAAATTAAATTAAATTAAACTAAATTAAATTAAAAAGTAAAATACCTTTGCTGAGTCTGGGGAGCCTGAAAGGCCCCTATACAAAACAGTTCAGTATGTACTTTAATGCATGAATTTGGCACTAAGAGGTCAGAACTGGAGCTCAAACTTAGGAATTGCAGTATTCAAAAGTTATGTTTAAGATTTCAGGTATAAATGATATCCTAAGAAGTATATGTAAGAAAGGTGGGTTATATGGAAAAAAGTAAATAATAAGGACTAAGGTCATCCAAGCTGGAGTTTAAATCCTATTAATAAAAGACCAACTATCTTTCCTGAACACATTATTTAAATATTTTAACTTTAATAAACACACAATCAGCTCAGTAGTCCATCTCAGTTTATTACTTACTTGCTGCCTGACTGGATAAACTGTTTAAACTGGACTTAATTCAGACTAGTCAGATACTGACTACTGAGGCAATATGTTCATTTAAGTAGCCTAATGCACAAGAGGGGCCCCTTCCAAGTATCAGTAGACGGTATTATTTTTATATGTGATTTTTAAATGCCAGTCCTCTCCAGGAATCTAATCTGAGTCCACTTCTATAAGCAGTCTGTATATCCATATTATCTTATCAAGATATTAATCTTTAATTATCATCACAAATTATAATTATTCATTTACTACATGCATCCTAGTCCCTTGTTTCTTGTCCTTTACCTTTTAGCTCCTTAACTTACATCCATCACCTGATTTTCTCTGTACTTAAGGAACTGTCATTTCCAAGGTTCACTCACCATTTGGGCTCCACATATATGTTCACTGACAGTGAACAATGACAAAAGGAGGACAAAATGCAAAGTCAGGTCTTTCTCACTCACTTCTGCAGCAGAAGTTTCTTTCATGACTGATATCACTATGCCTTCATTAGACAATTCCACTGTCTCCAGGGAGCCTCCATTATCTTGTCCATTCAGTAGACCTGTATTTTAGTATACACATTTTTCCCTCCATCCTCCTAGGCTGATAGGTGAAAGAAAATTAGTGTTTGAATTACTGATGTAAAAAAATGCTAGCACGTATTATCAGTCCAATACACTTGTTTACCGAAAAGTGCCGGAGAGAAGATTGAGGGCAAAAGTTAACAACTGCATAGGAACACAGGAAGGAGCCGCATGACAACATGACCTATAAATAGTGACATTACATAGCCCTTTTAGAGCCAAAATTCTCTCATTCAGCACTTAGCCCTACAACTCTGTGAATAATGAAATAATCATAATGTGGAAAAGAGAGGTCTGGTGTTATCTTGCTATATTCATTCATTTCCAAATATGTACAGAATATAAACATTTTACTAAGTACTCTGGAGTTTTGATTTTGTGGTATTGGGGATTGAACCCAGGGGTTTTCTACTAATACATAAACAGTCTCTCTCAGCTTAGCCTGAGCAATTAGCAGGACCTGTTTCAGTAGGTAGAAGGATGGGTGGATAGATGATAGATAGATAGATAGATAGATAGATAGATAATAGAGATAGATAATAGATAGATAGATGATATAGATAATAGATAGATAGATGGATAGGTGGATAGATAGATAGATAGATAGATAGATAGATAGATAGATAGATAGATAGATGATAGAATCTATCTGTCTATCCACCCATCCATCTATCTATTGAGGTAAGCCCTGCTAAGCCATTAAATTGCTCAAGCTAGGCCGAACGACAGATACAAGCTATGCATCGGGTAGTGTGATAAAGGCTTTCTAACCATTAATTCATCCCACAAACATTCTTTCAAGAAAATAAGTATATGAATTTATGAGGCTTCAAGAAATGTTTCAGGTCATAGTCTCAGCAAGTGAGTGGAGATGAAAACCAAGGCATTCAGTTCAAAACCAAGACTTAAGTATGATTTCCTATTAATAATGTTAAGAATACTAAAGGAAGGTTCATGCCACCCTCTATGCATTATAACTAGAAAAATATATTTCTTATATTTAAGACTCTAAACGTACAGTGGGGAAAAATTCTCTGCCTCCAAACTCATTTCCAATATCACAAGAACAGAAGGAAAACTTGAGTGTTATGCTCTGTGAGGAATATTAATACAACAAGCATTGTTAATTTCCTACCACTTTGTTTGTAACTCTGTATTGTCTGTACTGTTCTTTTCCTATTTTGTAAATGGTTGTCTGTTTGTTAATGTTTTCCTTCTTTTAGTGTAAAGAAAAAAAAAAAGAATGGCGCTCAGTAGCTATTTAGTGATCCTAAAGTTACATATGCGTTCTGTTTTCTTGGAAAGACCACAAATTAAACTTTGCTTCCCTTGTCCGGGCATTTTACTGTTTTAGCTGACAATGAACTAATATGCACAGTCATATGTAAATATTAGCCAATCAGTGGTGGGCACAGTTACATCTCTCATTTACATAAAACCAATCAAGCTGGATGGAGCATGTTTAATATCTCCATTTTCATAGGTGCATCCAGTAGAAACCTGATAAAACTTCCTCTCTGTGTACAAGTCCCTCTCTGTTCTTTTGGAGTACAATTTCATCTGTAACAAAGTGTACGTCTCTCTGTTTTGCAAATTTTTGTTTACCTGGTTAGTTTCTTAAAATAAAGGCTCCTGTTTACCTTTTATCATTAAAAAAAAGAGAAAGAAATGAGTACAAGTAACATTAACATGATCTCTAATCTATTAGCACAAATGAAGAAGCTAGTCTGAGTTCCCTGGCTGTTACCTTCCACTCTTGCTTATAAATATGTATTAACTTATCATAAGGACTTCTGTGAACCTGCCTTCCTGGTCATTCTGCACAAATTCTTCCCACTTCCTTTCATCCTCGCAGCACCGGCCTGTTGCTCAGACATGGCATGCTGATTCTGGTTTCTAACCTTCCATTAGTTTATTTCCTTACAAATACCTGCATGTCTCCCAGAAATTTACGGTGATGTCTCTTCCTTGACATGCTGCAACCAATCTGCACACTTGGATACTGAGTTTCCTGAGGTCATGGTAGCAATTTAAGCTTAAGGCACATAGCAACCATCAATATCTAAAGTTCTTAAGTAAAAGGAAGATCATTTCTCCGGAGATGACGTAAAGAAGAGCTCTGCTCCTACCACCAATATTTCCAGTCCTCTATCTAGCCTCACAAAGGTTTTGAAAATCTAGTTGCTCCTAGAAAGTCCCCTACACTGAATAGAATAGTTACAAACCCTGTCTGGGCCTTTATCTCCTAGGACCTGCAACAGTTTTCCTCCACTGAGCCCCTTCCTTGTTACTCTGCCTCCAACCGCCCTGAGGTCTTCTCTGAAGTCTTCATTCTGTCTTCTAAGTATCCTGAGACTCTTTGTCGCACCGGGCCCTTCCTCATACCAGAACTCTCCCCACCTTTTCCTTTCCCTGAAGAACTCCCATGTGCATGTCGTGTATTGCCTTATTTTATTTTTAATCAAAGTCTACATTTCACACAACAACAAACAAGGAATATCTGTTCATTAAACACACACACATGTACACATAACACACAACTCTCAACACAAAATCTATGGGTTTATATATTTAAAAGTACATGGAAAAAGAACTAAAGACAATGATATATAATTTCACAGCAGAATAATTTTACTATTTCCATTATTATTTAAGGACTAAAGCTTGTTCCCTAAAGCTCTTCTCTCTGGGCAGAGGACTCAATGATACTTATAGGCCAAGGCTTTGGCCACTCCAGCCGCCAGCTTCTGCCAGCCTGTCTACACTTCGGGAGTGAATTCCTCACCAAGATGTTTTGCCAAGACAATCAGTAGCACATTTCCCAAGATCTGTCGAGTGGAAAGAGATGAGTGATATAAACACATAGTGAACAAAGAGCTCTAGGCTGGTCTTCAGATGTTCGGACACTCAGCTCTCACTCAGAAACAAGCCTAGGTCAACTTCCCTCAAAGGCTGAAATGTTGCCCAGTCATTAAACACAGGTACTCTGTTAGCCTTACAATATTAACCATGATTTCAATCTTTACATTTAAATATCCATATCGTGATTTAAATGGTTATATCTTCTTACCACCAAAATCCCTCTGCTTTTTGTGGGAGTTGAGCAAAATAAAACTCTCACAGTTATCTTTCCAAACCAAATATTCCAGCTGTTAGTACATTTTAAAGACACATTGCCCCTCTCCTGAAATTACAGGGTGCAAATTTGGCATGAGGAATATTTTATACAAGCATTCATCCAACACAGGAATAATCTCAGCGATGTTTGGTCATTTACTTTCCATCTTACTGAGGTAACAGGTGCCTTTCTCAATGGACCTTCTCTGTGGCCATTTGTTTTCTGCCTCCAGCAGAATTTTAAATTTAAAAAGATGAAAAAGCAGCTATTTCTACCTAGCTGCTTGTAGAAGAGTTCTTTCCTCAAAAACTGTATGGTTTCCTTCAATAACCCATTTTCCTCATCTCTGCAAAAATCTCCTTCCAAAGCCAGCAGAGTGTAGAGAAGTCACTCCCACCTTCTAGAAGCATCCTTTAAGCCCAAATATGTTACTCAACTCAGTTGATCCTCTGGAGTTGCTTTCCTCCCTACGTCAATATTTCTGAGTATCTCACACCCCACAGGGGGCCCCAGTTCTACTCAAATCACAGTTTCATTATCCAAGAGCCCCCAACTTCCCTCCTGGACTCATCTTGAAGTTTTCAGGATCCACATGCAGCTTGTCACAATGCAGTTCACTCAGAGGGGCAAAGGTGCTCTTGAGATCATCTATGTTCTTTAGAGCTTCTCCCGAGGAAGTCAACACCTTATCATGTGCCTTGACCTTGGGATTGTCCATGATGGCAGAGGCAGAGGACAGATTTCCAAAGCTGTGAAAGAACCCTTGGGTCCGGGGGTAGACAACAAGGAGCCTGTGAGATGGGACAATAATAATTGGAAAGTCAAAGTTTGTCAGAAATCCATAGAACCAGGCTGGATTTCTGCCAGCTGCAGTCTCCTTCCTTCCCTCCCTTGTCCTGGCCCCCAGAACCCACCTTCCCAGACTTTCTCTTCCAGCCTCCTCCACATTCGCCTTTTTCCATGCACCTGTGATAGCAGCCTTATCCTCAGCTGTGAAATGAACCATGGTTTTTTTTTGTTTTTGTTTTTGTTTTGGTTTTTTCTCCGGTACCGGGAACCGAACTCACGACCTTGCACTTGCCAGGCAGGCACTTTTGCTGCTGAGCTAAATCCCCAGCCCCCGAACCATGGTGTCTGACTTGTTGACAGCCCCAGCTGTTTCAGAAGCGAGTCTGTGCCACTGCTAAAGGCCATGTCCTTTTATTCTTCAGCCCTGACCCTCTCCTCACTGGACACTCTAAGGCTATTGGTCAAGGTAAGGCTGATCAGGGGTGGGATTGGGGTAGGACAAGGTATATTCAGATACATTAGTTAATGTCCAGGAGGCTCCCTCAAGAAAATGCTGCCTTTTAAGCTGTTATAGCTTTTTTCCAGTAAAGCTTTAAATCAATTGTCTCAATTTTGCTCTCGTTCTGTTTTCATTTTAGATAGTTTCCTTCTTCTCCCCTGTTCCTGCCTTTCTTATTTTTGGTCTCTATCCTCAGTGTCCTACAGACAAAAGATAAAGCACAGGAAAATGTAGAAAATACAGGGATTAAATGTTTCATTTTAGGCACGAGGTTTGGCATCTCTGATAGGACAGTTATGCATCCCATTTAGTTAGAAGTGGTTTCCAAGAGAAAAATGCTAACTAATTTCTAAATATTTTCTCTGTGGATTCAGGGGCTGATTTCTCCAGCTCACAATACCTGGAAAAACCCCTTATAACATCAGTTTGGGTATAGGAAAACATTAGTGTTATGTATCATAATCTAGGACTAAAGACTTGACCTAGGGTCTCTATTTGAAATAAAATATGTCTCTTATCTAAGAAAAATACGTGCTTCCATGTCAAAGTATTTCTGTAGGCAGAAGATAACATGTATTCCTACTGGATTAGTGCATGCTCTTGGTGACCCAGTGTTTGGTTTTAATTCTCCCGTGCCAATGAGGGCAGTTGAAGAAGTTCCTTGGTAGGTACTGTGAACTGAATGATTTCTCTTTCAAATCATTTCAGCCAGCATTATTCTAAGACGTGACATCAGGAAGACCTCCTTTGCTTTCTTTTTACACACTTTAGCTCACTCAACACCCAACATGGCAGGAAGATACCATATTTTTTTAGTGAAAGTGGCTTTCTTAGATCATAATGCCTGAAATTTTGAAAATCTGGTTAGACTATTTTTTCCTATGACCAGAATTTATAGTAATTTTAGAAGACACATAAACATGCTACCTGGCATGTTAGCTCTTTTCACAAACAGATTTCTCTTTAAATTAATTTATCCCCTAACCTCTCTTTAAATTAATTTATCCCCTAACCTCTCAAGTTGACTAAAATACCATGGCTGAATTCTCTCAGTCTCTATGTTTTCATGTAAAGTTTGTCTTGTTTATACACAAGGTAACTAAAAGATCAGGAAGATAAGACCTTTTAAGATATCAGTAGTGATTCTCCAGTTATACCATAATAATTTGTGGCTTCTGTAAATATAAGAATAGAGGAGATTTTTACCAGTATGAAGGTACTAGTCTAGAGCCTGAGAGGAATCCAGATCAGATTCCCTTTAAGATAACAGGTCTGTAGGATGGGTGTATGTGTACGTAATTGCCTAATCTGATAATCTAATGGTGTGGATTCGTAAACCATGGCCTCCAAGGATGACTCAGAAGGTCTCTAAGTCTCCAAAGACCTTATCTGTGCACTGTACTTGTCTCTTCTCACACTGAGGGATATTTCTGACCTCTCCTGTCTGCAAACAACTTCTCTATTTTTCCAAATACTTAAATAGTGATCCAAAAGTTATCTGTAGCCACTGCCTTCTTATGCACTTGAGGCAATATCTTCCAACAGCTGTTTGAATTCTCCATGCCCATAACTATTTTCCCCTTCCATTTTCCCCTTGTCATTGCTTTGGCCACTGGCTGAAATCTCATGCATAAAGTGGTTTACAACAGCCCTCCGTGCATTTGCAGGGATTCATTACCGTGTTTTCAAACCTTCATCCAACAACTATTTGAATAACTGTGTCATCATTTTTATAAGATCTGAGGATTTAAGATACATGAAGCAAGGGAGAAAATCTTTATCTGAAACCTCATAATTTAGGACATGGAAGACAAATAATGAATAAGTAAAACTAATTAAAATAATTGTAGATGTTATTATTTACTACATGGGAAATGAATATCTGGACTTGATAAGAGTGGGGCATGATTTGGTTTAGAAGGGTCTCTCTCTGGAGAAAGGATTTGAGCCAGGACCAGAGTAACAAGTCATAATTTGCTATGGGAAAAATGTAGCAAAAATGTTTAGAAGTTGGAATGGCAAATTGAGAACTCTGAAGCAGGAAAAAATAAACTTTTGGTCTATTAGAAAAATAAATAATGTCCCAGTTAGTTAGGTAGACTCAAAAAGATACAATTAAGAATGGCAGGAAAGGGCTGGGGATATAGCTCAGTGGCACAAGTGTCTGCCTGGCAAGCGCAAGGTCCTGAGTTCGATTCCCGGTACCAAAAAAAAAAAGAAAGAATGGTAGGAAATATTGTCACAGAGGAAGTATAGGCTAGTAGATAGAACACTTCTTTAGTGGTAGGGAGCAAAAAACTGTTAAAAAATTACAATCCTAGTAATGACACAATCTTCAAAACCTTTGCATGCTTACCTGACTACTATTCCAAAACCACCTTGTTTATCACATTATTATGAAATAACTTTTGTTGCCTATCAGCAAAACTTAGCTATTCTTTCATCTGACTCATCCAGACCTGTGTAGCTATGTGAATTTACACATAGTTTGTGAATTCATCTCTATGAATTCATTTTCAGTTGTGTTGAACTGGTAATATCATGACTTCTTGATGCCCAGTGCCAAGTAATAGTTGGCTTCTTGACATGCAGTGGCAGAATAATATTTGGAGGCAAGAACAAGAGAAAAAAATAGTTAACAGTAGAAATTATTCTCATTTTTTAAATGGACTGACTAGGTGAAAAGTTTCTGTGCAATATATAACATTTATTCTATTTAGAGACTATATATATATATGAGAGACCAGTGCTGTTGATTTGCTGAAACTATAATGATTATTCATCTCTCATTCCTGCCACAGGAAACATGAAGCCTAATTAAGAAATAATTCACAGAAAAAAATTTTGAGCAGTGTATGGAGAAAATGAACTGTCTGATATAGTTATATTTGTCAAGATTTGTCTTGCCAACATGTAGTGTAACGGTCTCAATTCTTGATAGGAGAGTTTGACGCAGGCCTCATATGAAGACTCTCTGAGCAATCCAACCTGCACTCCCTCAGACGCTTCAGTCAATACACCATGTGAGGGTGCCCAGGCCAGAGCACAGCCTCATTCCATCAGACTCATCAGACTGGGTGCTTTCTCTCATCCACTCCTTCCTGCTTCATTCCTGCCTACCCTGCCTGCTCAGACATCTAGGCTTTCTCACTCCACATTTCCTCCCTTCACTTTTTGCAGACTTCATCACTCCTCTTGGGTTGTAACCATTACTTCTTTTTTTGTGTCATCACCCACATCTAGTCTCTACGAATTTAAAATAAAATATTTGCTTTTCCAGAATGTTGCTTCTGCTGATGGAACTCTTCACTTCATTGGGAGGCCTTTGAGTACTCCAGTTCGCAAACTTCTTTGCAAAGATTTCTTATACTGCCCTTATAGGCATTTTGCATGCTTAACTACATTGCTTTTCCCCCAAAATTCTATTTCTGGAGTCACTTAACAGTCTAAGAATATTTATTGTTCTTTATTCTGATAGCATAATAATGGTTTTCATTTTTATAGTCAAGTCCTTCACTCTTTGGACTTTGCTAGTACCGCATCTGTGTTTACTCTCTCCTCTTCCAGGGGGGCAGTCTCATACAGGTCACCATGCCCAAGATCACTGGTTTTAAACTACAAACCTTGTTACTATTCATACAGACTTCTCTCCTACATCGTTTTTATCAGCCCCTTCAAAAACGTTATTACTTGTATCCTAACTCTAACTTTATTTTAGTGCATGTGACATTCTGCCAGAAGATAATGCACAGTGGTCCACGTGTCTTATCCTTGGCTCCCCATTAAGACAAAAGGATCCTTCAGAAAAGAGCAAGCTATTGTTGAATTACCATAGGCATTTTCTGGAAAACTCGTAGCTATCCCTTAATTCATCTCCTTATCTTCAAATCTTCAAAAGACAGGACAAGCTAGCTGCTTCAAAACGTACATTAGAATAAACTACATTAGTAATCATCATGTAGAGTTTGGATCCCTGCAAAGACTTTCTTTTTACTTTTAATAAAAGTTGGCGTAGATCACATCTTTGCTTTCTCAATTTCCACTGGCCACCTCCTTTTTCCTCCCCGTAGTAGTTGTTTACCCTATGGCCCCACAGGTCCCTGCCCGCTTAACTAACCCTTGCTCCTGATAGAACATCCTCTCCATCTTGGCCTCCTTGAGCTTTCACTGAGAGATATTTTGATGAGTCCCTCCCTGCATGCTTCTCAAAGGAGCTTTCATTTCTTCCTACATTGCAACCCACCCTTCAGCCCATGCACACTTCCCCTTTCACACAGGAGTAAAAGATGGAGAAGACAATATCAACTTTTGATTACTGAAGAGAATGATTTTTATTGAATACTTTTAAGGGCCAGCCCCGTCCCCATGTGCAGAAGGAGGGTATTGGGGACACACAGGAACACCGGTGGACTGGAGAGCGGGCTCAGTGGTACTTGTGGGCCAGAGCAATGGCCACACCGGACACCAGTTTCTGCCAGGCAGCCTGCACATCGGGGGTGAATTCCTTGCCAAAGTGAGTAGCCAGAACGATCACAAGCACATTACCGAGGAGCTGTAGATGAAACAAAACAACACAGAGGCATGTTGAGAACCAGGCTCCAAACAAGAATTGGCAGGGGAGAGAACAGGCTCTGTACCTACACGCACTGACATCTACAGCTTGGAACTGCCTATCCAGCTCTCTCAGAAGGGCTTAGGTTCAGTTTCATTTTTATGAGCCCCTATTTAACATTCTGCCATCTACCTCTCTACTTTCTTCTCATTCTACCATTTTTATTTACTTTTCTTCCTTTTCTTCTTATTCAGTAATTGTTTAATTTCTGTAAACATGATTTCCATGCTGAAAGAGTTCTCAGTGGCAGTTTTAAATCTCTCACCAAATATGGAAAAAGCCTTTCTTTGGTCACAATACTCAAATAGAATTTAATAGATTTTAGAGAATGTGTTTTATGTTGGCAAAGTCCTTTTTAAAAATTTTTCTCAAAATCTATACCTAGTATAATTAGGACACACAGTCAATCAAGCATTTCTCCTTCCTGAAGATAAGCATGTGTCTATCAAAAGCTACATTCTAGCTCTCCTTGACAAATTTCCTATTCTCTAATATTATTCTCCAGGATAAACACACCCAGTTCTGACAAAATTTTATGAACAGCTGTAAGCAAATTGAGAGTTTCTAATTACCCATACCCGCACCCTTATTCGTCAAGTTGGTTTGAGTTATATCCACAGGACATCTGTCTTTCTACTGTCACACTGGGCCATGATGTCTGAGATCTTTGTTGACATTTCCAACCATGATGGCACCTTCCAGTATTATTCCTAAGTAAAGCACCAGAAAAGCATATGAGCTTTTCCTGAACTCACCCTGAAGTTCTCAGGATCCACATGCAGCTTGTCACAGTGCAGCTCACTCAGCTTAGCAAAGGTGACCTTGAGGTTGTCCAGGTTCTTAATGGCTTCCCCAAAGGCAGTCAGCACCTTCTTGCCATGGGCCTTGACCTTGGGGTTGCCCATGATGGCAGATGGAGAAGACAAATTACCAAAGCTGTCGAAGAATCTCTGAGTCCAGGGATAGACAACAAGGAGCCTATGAGATAAGATAATAACACAGGAAATCAGAAACATTCAAAAACCTTGAGGCATTTCCTAGACAATTTCCAGGGTGAGTTTTACGCATTGAGCACCTGTGCTTACCTGCCCAAGGTTTCGCCTCCTGTCTCTTCCACGTTTACCTTGCCCCACAGGCCATTGATGACACTCTTTTCCTCAGAAGAGAAATGCACCATGATGTCGGGTCAGGAGCTTGCTGGTGATCACAGAAGTATCAGAAGCAGGTCTAAGCTGCTGCTGGAAGTTGTCGCCTTTTATTCTTTACTAGTGAAGTTCTGGCCCCCTCCTTTCCCCCATACTTTGAAGTCATTGGTCAAGCAGAGCTGTGTCCCTCATGGGTGTGGCCAGGTCAGAAGAGGGTCACGCGCAAAGAACAATAATGTGTGCTGGATTCGGAACCTTCCCTACTTTTTTGGCTCCTCCTCCAAGTACAACACAATTCTCTAGTTAAGCTCCCCTTTTACTCTCTTCTATTTCCCCATGAAATCCGCCAGTGTAATGAATATCTACCTATCACACCCCCTTTTTCCAAGTAGAGGAGCTAATTTTAAGACGGAAAAATAATTCCAATCCAAGCAACTTTAACACTGGAGTTCAGGATGGTAACAGTGAAAAAAACAACATCAAGAAATAATGAATTCAGTGCTATTGCTCTGAATCTATTTGGATTCTCACAGTCTTGAAGACTGGATTATAATATAAACCTCCATAACTTTTCTAAGGAAAACAAGAATAACACACAGTTATTTCTGGAAATAGAACACAGTACTAAGTGATTTGCCATGGTATTAAGGTTTCAAGTCCAAAGTAGCCTCTCAGAGAGTGATTTTTAGAGAAGGCAGACAGAGCAACACTATACCCTATGATTTCAGAGAATCCTCTTTTTCCCTTTTCTCTGCGATGAGAGAAGAAGTTGGTTACTTATGGGCTGTTGCTCTGAGCTGTCTTTCTACTTTTCTCTCTTACCCATGCTTCTCATTAGTGCAATAACTGAGAAAGAAGTTGAGATTATTTTATACCAAGATTTGTGATCAAAATGCAGAACAAGTCCATTGATATGTTAATCATGCTAGAAGTTGCAGTATTTTCAGGATTTGTTGTAATCACAAATGCAAGAGATTCAAATTCTCCTAGTGTCTTTGTTTTTTGGACAAGTTATGACTTTCTAGCTCTTATGTATTGGAGCTGAAATGAGAGGTCTATATTTGTGTATTCAACTGTATCTATATACATGAAGAATATTTTCTATGTTATTCCACTTTTTCTGTATTTAGTAATGTAATCGCTATTATCCAAATTTTATTTTAAAATGAAGGAACAAAGGTCACAGAAGCTATTCAACTGTCAAGATGGGAGTTAATGACTAAAAAGAAGGGAGACAAAGTTACACGAACTTAGCTTTGCTAAGTCCAGAAAAGTATCTCCGTATCACCATAATCTAACCACCCCTTCCCAGTTTCTATTCCTTTCTATTCTTTCTATCCCTTCACTCTTCTCTTGTTCCCTTTTCCCCCACCAGACATGAAAGTTTCTTTTGCTACAGGGTTTGGTTTTGGATTTTATTTTTATTTTCACTTGTTTTATTTGGTTGTGATCGTATTCTGTGCTCTAGGTCACGCTGGCTCCTTTCCATTTAGTAATATGAAAAATTTTCTCATACCTCCATACTTCAAGTTTTCTCTTCTTTATAACCACGCCTTGGTATTTATGATCATTTCTTATGGTGTGACACAAACACGTCTAGCACATGAAAATGTTTCCCTTGCATTTCTCTTAGGATTCTAGAAGTTTATATCTGATTTGATGCCTTTTTCTAAGTTAACCCTTCCCTATCCCACTTTCTTTTACCTTTTAACCAATGATATATTTTTGGGCATAAGTGCTTAACTGACTGCCAACACAGACACAATCAAGGAGGTATAATCCTATTCACTTATTTATTCATTCATTCATTCATTTTTACAGCAGACTAATTTGACAGGCTGATGACTACTGAGTACTGTACTTGTTAATGTATAAACTTATATACGTAGGATTGACAAGGAGATCACTTCTTTTGAAATAAGTTATCAACTTCCAAAACATTCATTTTTTGGTATAGAGTCATGTGTGGTTCACTTGAGTGCATTAAATCTAGTGATGGTCACATAATTGTCACAATATTCCAAGCAAGTAAAATAATTACTAATGCTATTTAAAGATACTAGCAAAAGCTATAGCATAATATAAAAAATACCTGTGAGTTTTATTTACAGCCACTGTTTTGTTACTGCATTCAAAATGGAAGAAGATAAATGCTAAATTTCAGTAAATGATTAGTAAAATAAACATGGATGTTTTACATCATAAATCTGACTAATCTGTTTAGTGTTCTGTCAACCCCAAGGTAAGTGCTACTGGTCTCAAATATACAGCTGTGAAAAAAAGCAATTTTGATCAAGAGAGAAAACATTTTATCCCTGAAGTAGAAGACGAGTGAATGCATAGACAAGAAGCAGATGACTATTCTGGGAAGAAGAGCTTCTGGGTTCATAAACAGTCAGTGGAATAAAGCCTGGATTTCTAAGGTAAATTTTCTCTGGATCCACAGTTTGAGCACTGCAACTCTTTTCTCAGAATTTAGGTCTGTGGATCAGAGGCTGTCAAAGCCCATGATATAATGGACTCTCGAGTCCAAGAGTTTAGGAAAAATGCCTGTCCCTGAAACAAACCCTGTGGGCATGCCCTATCTTCCTCCCAATTCAAACTGTGGACAAAGATCATCTCTTAGTTCTATTGTGAGATTGATCCTTCTCCTCCTCTGTCAGACCCAGTTGCAGGACCCAAATCTCTTTGTTCATGGCCTAGGGGATTTGATCTGACTTCCATGAAAGACCCTCTCTATCAGTGCTCCCTTGTTGCTAAGGATTTTGGGGAAGGGCTCCAGGTAAGGCACAGATTTGAAAGGTAGCAGGTCTGGTTCAGTGTAAGAATGAAGAATTTTAGCTTTGAAGTCAAGGTGAATGCATTGCTATCATTGCTTAGGTGTTTGTTGACACAAGCTAAACTACCTCAGCTGTTCCTCTTTAAACATTTCATTTCTTTCTCTGGTCAACAATGAGTGATTACTGTCTCTTTTTTTTTCTGGATTAAAAACCCGAAGTTTACTAAGATAAGTGGCATGAGTATCAAGGACTGATCAGAGTAATGAAATAGCCAGAAAAAAATAAGAATATTCATTTATGGTCTATATAAGAATTACTCAAATTAAAATTCTGTATGTCTTAAGACATTAACAAAAAAGCTTTTGTAAGAAACCTGAAACTTTATGAAGATAAATTCTGCCTCTGAGGGTTTCCTATAATATTTGTAGTTTTCTAAGTTCTGGACTAGATTTTAAGACATATAAGATCTTAAGACATAAAAAATACATAGGAAAGAATATATTTTCTTAAATGTTGCCACCCAATTTATGGCACATGTTTATTCCAAAGACAAACATTATATTATATTTTCATGATCTTAGTATAGAAAATTATATAAATTAAATTGTTGATAGACAAAGCAAGCCCTTCAATTCACTACATCTTTTCCGTGTTGTCAATGAGAAAAATGTTTTCTTCAGTGGATATTCCTTACAATAGACTAGTTCTTTCATTTTTAATTCTAAGATAAAAAATTATGAACAATATTTGTAAGCTAAAAAATGGGAAAGTCTTTATAAGATTATTAACTAGAATTACAAGTTATTCTTTGATTGTGAATTTACATTTTTGTTCTTAGAAGTAGATAATACCAAATGGCTTTATTAGGTTGTGAAATACCTGGAAGTGACCAGGTACCACCAGTAATAAGAAATTCTGAGATTTACTCTGCAGGAAGCTTATGAACTCTTTCTAGTGTCATTACAAAGAATGGAAGCATAGACACAATCAGTAAATACTTCCACTTTTGACACACCAGGGCTCGGCCTCATGTCTCTCAAAGTTTATAGATGGATTTCATCCAGAGTTGTGTCTCATTTTCAGGGTGACCCCTCCTCAAAGCCCTGAGAAGATAGACATCTGTTGACCCCTGGAGCCATGTTGCCTAAAGCATAGCCAAGGGTACCCATGGAGTTTAATTAAACTGGAGGAAACTTTACAGAGAAGTACAGATTGAAAGTCAGAACCAGCCAGTTATTCCATTTTCCTGCATGAGGGACTCTGAATTTTAAAACTCGAAATTGGTAATTTAGAAAAGTCATATGTGTCTCATTGTCCTCTGAAGCGTGGCTTTAGTTTGACATTTTCTGACCTTGAAAAGAAAATCTTTTCATTTATTTTTATAATTAAAATTCTACAAAATTCTATATTTTTCTTTACTTATGTAAAATAATACTCAATGTATTCTCTGAACTAAGAACTTAAAAATAAAAATGCAATGAAATAGCCAAGAGGCCTGACATTATTAGGTGCAGTGCTTTTCAAGAATGAAGATTTATTACAGTTTACTGCATTGCTTTGGTTCATTAGGCCAAAGCTCACTGCTCTTTCCCAAGATGTAAATCAAGTAATAATTTATAAATGTTATTCAAATGTAAGGCTTCTAAGATATACATATACTCAATATATTCCAGATAGAGTTGATTGAAATGAGACTCTTTTAGACACAAATTTCAGAATTCTGTGTCCAGAACTCTTAGAAAAGATTCAGTCATATGTTAAGAACCCCTCTGCTAAAAAAAGTGGGAAGCACTTGATTAGGTGATTTTTTAATTATCAAAAAATTATGTCTTACCTAGGAATCTATCTTCAGTATTTCAATACTTTATATTAAAGCCATAACATAGCATATTTCTTGAATTAAAATTTTACATCTCTCAGGGAAAAGATAAAATTAAGGATTGTAGAATAATCAGAGAAGCAACAGTAAGACTCCATTCATTAACAAATTTATCTACCATCATCCACTGGAGAAACCAGGATCTCTCAGACTCCCAGATGTCCTCTCTGCATTCATCCCTCAGCAGGTCCCAATGTCACCAACCTCTCCTGTCCCTGTTTTCTTCTCCCCTCCCCCCTTTTTTGCTCTTTTATTCTCCTCTTAAATAATACTCAATTACCTTTTTTGTGTATTCACTTTTCTCATGGGAACTTTGAGGATTATTTTATTTTATTCTGTATTTTAAAAACAGAAGCAGGCAGATCTGGTGTTTTTCTTCTCCTGGGTACTTAGGCTGATGATACCTGGGTGGGGTCAGAACCTGTGGATGTCGA